CCCAGCACATGGCAGTCGTGTTCGGAACAACCCCTCACCTCGCTGATATCTACACCTTTACCCCTTCTAGTCCGTGTGGACACTACTTTTACCCCACCCAGCACATGGCAGTCTTGTTCGGAACCACCCTGATATCTACCCTGATATCTACTCTTCTACTCTATGTATTTCCTGTGAAGATATCTACCCACTGTCAGCACGCGGCAATGCTTGTGTAAGCCTGTCAAGCGAGAAAGTTGATAATCTAGTGTGGCTGGAAACTAAGTAACACTATCCTGTGAGATTAGGCCTTTCTTCGCATGAATGAAAATTGGAGAAATAAAACCAAGAGCTGTTTCATCACATAATGCGCTGACAATTCGTCGGAAACGAGGTTTCCTTAATCAGTGTTCAGTCATTAAAGTAATGGTCCTACTGTTTAGATGACCAAACTCTTCACGGGGCGATAGTCCATAACAAATAAATACCAACGCATTAATTCAACACTGTATATTGGCAGAAAAATGTCTTTAATGACAAATAAAAAATCGTTTGCGTGTTTCTTTGTTCGCGTTTGAAGGACAACACCGCCCACAAACAAATCGGAACGAACATAACAGGATATAGGTTTTATTTTCAAACCAACGCCAGTCCTTCCTGTGCACCATGTGATGTCTGCCCGTCGGTTGATCCATGACAGTTGTCATGTTGAAGGTTGCCCACCTGTTACCAAGCATTCCCCGTACCAGTGCACACACCTAGATTGTATTTATTTATTTTTCATATTCTTTTATGTCCCCCATATCGCCACCCCGTCACAAGCCACGTGGCACACATGCACCGCTGGCTGCATTCCTGCATCCTGGCGTATACCGCCCCCCTCCCCCCACCGACGTGAGCAGCGACACCTGTTACCTACCCGGTATTCACTATGGGTATCTGTGCCTTCTCCTGTTTACTGAAAGCGGCAACACATGTGACCTCACCTCACCCGAACCCCTTCCTCTACGTTAACCCTCCGACGTCTATTGTACGCCTCTTCGTTAACTCTTAAGCGTACAAAATTTCCTCCCCAAAACGAATCCCGAAACATGGACAGATTTCAAAGCTATGCACATAATCTCACAACTATGATAGTGTATTCAGTTCCGTATCCTTTGAAAAATAAGCCTTAAAGTGTTACAGCATCCTGGTGGTATGTGGTACTTAAGGCAAAAAGATCTAATTATGGGGCCAGGCTCACTGACTTGGTTGACACATGTCATCGGTTCCCAATTGCGCAGATCGATGCTCATGCTGTTGATCACTGGATTGTCTGGTCCAGACTCGATTATTTACAGACCGCCGCCATATAGCTGAAATATTGCTGAGTGTGGCGTAAAACAAAATTCACTCACTCACTGGATAAATTATGTCATATTTCACGCAATAGTGGGTTTGGAAAGTTGGCGATATACACAAACGTTGAAATCAGAACGATTATTTAAATTTTGTAGTATCCAAGCTATCAACATGAATGTAAGTCCATTTTACTTCTCTTGTGGAAAAAAGGTTTTCTTTAAATTACTTCATTGGTCGATTTTTTTTTAAAATTCAAAACCTGTGACACGTCAACATAAACCTACACAAAACATGTCCATGTATATATATCACGCTGTGTCAGAAACAAAAGCAAATGAAATTTATAAATTAAGGTCAAATTTGAGCGGATCAACTTTGTTGTATGTATCACAGACGCGTGGCCTCTTCAGTGTTTGAATGAACGGATCATGTTGCATTCAAGTCACTTATTTCTTCAAGTTCGCCTACGCTTAAAGTTTTACGAGATATGTTTAGAGTGACTTAAAAACCTCTTACATTGTGTCAGTTACACCCCGACTCCCAGCTTACTATGAGTGAAATATAACGAAAGTAGGTCGGAGGCGTTTTAGAATGTATTGAAATCATAATCTTAGTGGATTGATAGATCAGTTTGTCAGAATCACCCAAGGCAAGCAGCATCTTTATATACCGGTAGAGTTAGAGAGTGTTCGACCTTACGATGCATTAAGCACATTTTCTGCTATTCAAATCGTGCTAGCTTTATGAGATATGAAAGTCCGAAGTGATTTGTACTATGTTCGTGATACCTCTGAACACGGGCCTAAACGTAGATTCAAACCAACTATGTATAGGTTCCTGGTACGCCAAAGGGACGCAAGTCTGCAATGCATATGGGCGTCATGTACTACTGGACAGTCCAGTGCCTCCAGAGTGAGTGAGTGATTGAGTGGGTTGGGTTTAATCCACTTTGATTCTTCGGGGCATGTCATCTACCGGAGCAAGCCTCTGTCGGCATGAATGGGGCGGTATGCGTTGGTCTCCACGTCGTTTCCACTGAGAACATGTTGTCTGTGATCTCGCTTTGCCGGTGAATTCAGGAAAACAATAAAGTGTATCTGCGATGTCTATACTGTTTAAAATAAAGTTGTCTTAAGTGAGTACTGTTGTGTCTTAAGTGAGTACTGTTGTGTCTTGAGTACTGTTGTGTCTTAAGTGAGTACTGTTGTGTCTTAAGTGAGTACTGTTGTGTCGTGTGTCACGTTAAGCCTGAGACCTAGGAAGTTAAGTACACTTGTGACGTGTATTCTCTTTAACCTCAGACAGACTTAACCATGTGCTTCGTGTGCGCCGTTAAACCAAAAACAGACTGAATTATGTACACAGACCAACGAAACTGAGTATATCTGTGATGTATACCCCGTTAAACTTTAGACCAACGAAACTGGGTACATTTTTTATGTGTACCTGTTTAATCTTGGACTGTTTAAAGTGACTGTGGCACGTGCTCTGTAAAACCTTCCTGCACTAGCCGACAGGCGCGGAGTAGTTCAATGTCGTCACATTAAATGTGCTAAAGTTGTGTTTAATATCTCGAGGGCAGCATAGGGGCAGCTCATTTCCATACTTCCTCTCGTCCCCCATTCATACATACTCGTGACATTTAAATTCCAATTGTTTGGGCAGTTTTTGTAGTTGCATAGCTACCTCCGCAGACGAGAGAAAGCTCTGTGTTGCAATGGCGGGACACACGCGGTCGTTCTGTTAGGAAGGACGCCGTACTTTGTATGTTGAAGAAAGCCAAACGCGTTAGAATACTTTCTATACCGGGAAAACAGGGGATAGTGAGGCTACGTCCTGCAACTCTCTGTGAAGAGCTGCGTATATTTGATCAAGGCATGTTTTCCCTGGGTTCGAATCCAGCATTCGCTCCACTGTCAGTCACCAGTACCATAGCTGAGTTACATAAGTGGTTGATGTGAAGTTTCACTGACAGCATCGCAACATTCAGCTGAAAGGCATTGACATAACCGGTGGAATATTTAAGCAAGGGGCGGTAGCCTTGTGGTTAAAGCACTCGATCGTCACGCCGAAGACCCGGGTTCGATTCTCCACATGGGTACAACGTGTGAAGCCCATTTCTGGTGTTCACCGCCGTGATGTTGCTGGAATATTGCTTAAAGCCGCGTAAAAATAAAACTCAAACACACAGAGGCAAAGTATTCTCACTTTCACAATGTTGCGGGGTTTTTTTCCATAAAAAATTGTATTTTTCCTCTCATAATTTTAATCCTTTTAGTTAAAATGTAGTTGAGATTAAATTAAAATAACACAACAATGATGATGATGACGATGATGACGACGACGACGATGATGATGGTGATGGTGCTCAAAGCACTACATTATTTCAGCTTTCATTGGATCATTGGTGCAATCAGTTTCATTTTCAGCACAGTCTAGAAGACAATAAATTGTTGCGAGTTCTACATTTGAACACAGGAAAGTAAAATTCACTTTTCACACAAACGTCTTTGTGTTCTAAATCCGTGAAGTCCATATCTCTCACTAATGTTTTAGTTGATGTTCCTGTCGTCAAGGCAGCTATCCAGCAACGTTAAGTCAACTGACTACGTTCAAACAATTTCCATAATCACCCCACACACCCCACACCCAAATTGTGTAAACCCGTGTACTGGATGACATCACCGTAACACTTGAGTGGACTATGTCGCCAATATTTTGTTTCATTTCCTTGTCTGTCGGTAGATTCAAAGATAGGACATGAAATATTGGCCTCTAATGATCAAGCGCCATTAAGCGTCCACCACGATCATATACAGAGCGTATCTTTCCAAAATCATGCAGACAGTCGATACAATACCAAACCCATACCTTTTCTGGTGTCACTCGTACAATCCCCCAACCCCTCAATGTTCCATTTACTTGATCACGTGTTATCAACTCTGTATTAGCATAAATTTTAATGCTTCCTTAAAATCACAACTAAATATCTACCGGCTTTGAAACATGACGAGAAGGTGTCTCCAGTTGCTGGACTTACCTTCTATCAACGCTCGTCCTTGCAAGAGTAGAAGCTCATAACGTTTATATTGTTGCAATATAACGAACAATACCAAATTATGTTCCTGTAAAAAGAATTGCCAAGATCACTGCACGGATGAAAAGATATTCAAATTTGTTTAATAGCTCCTTGATGCTGAATGAGGAGCTCCAAGATTGGACCAGATAGTGTTACCTCTCCGTCTGCAGCATCTCTTTACAGACTGATGGTCTCCGCTTTCTCACAACGGACAACAGGGTCTATCTCTGAATCAAACGACTCAAATTCATGTTTGTCATCTCTGTGTTATAATGAATATTAAATTATAAGGTCTCACTTGAACATTAACAGTTTCTATACACCTTTCCCCACAATGAAAGGATGTTTCCAAGAAATAATGACTTTCTCCGTTCTCAAGCAAGAAAAACAGCATAGATATTTATTTTGTAAAAATCTTTGAATATATAAAATGTGTTTTATACGTTCGTCTGTTTCATTGGGGTCTACTACACACGTATGCAATCATTAGTTTCTTCAGGGGGTGTTTTTCCTTCCAATGAGGATAAATTTCTGGCTTGTCCACGATTTAGTGTGTCGCTGCATGCAATCTCGCCTGGTCTCGTGCGCAGCTCGAGCGGTGTTCCGCGTGAGCGCGTCGTGTGTCTCAACGAGTCCTGCATTCTTACCTATCGTCTGCTCCCAAACATGCGGTGTGTCGTCTGCTCACAGACACGAGGAGCTGTCTGGACGTCTGGACAGGCGGTACTGTCTATGTGGGGAGGAGTTGACATCGATAGCATTTTGAGGACCAAATAGCAGAAAAACAGAATTGTGTAAGATGCAGTCATGTTGCACATTGGCACGAGTTGTCCACGTGGTATGTGTGTACAGTAATAGCTTAGTGGCTGTCGCGCGCCACGTGGGGTCGGCTTGTTAAAACTCGGGGCCTCACGTCTAAAAGTCACGTGATATACGTACACGATATACTTGTTCCGCGTGGCAGCGCCAGCGGCACGCGCTCCCCCTTTCAATAAGATTTTATAAATAGCCAGAGACAGTGAACAAATTACAGCGAAGATGTATGTTTTGAATGTGAACACGGTGGCAACAGCTTACTCCCGCCGCTATCCACCATCGTTCTCCCTTTTGATGTGACCTACATCCACGCGCTGTGTGGAGTATGTGTGTGTGAACGACAGGGGGAGGGGGATCTGTCAGTTTGTGTGGGACAATACAAAGACAAGGGCCTTTCTGTAGAACTCAGGTACAGCACGTAATGAGTCCCATGTAGGTAGAGAATGGGTTAACGACCATGGTTTGAAAAGTGGGGCAAATTCAGGGACTTGTTTTTTAACCCTTGATAATAAAGCCTATCTGAAGGTGGAAAGCCGTCGTGTGGAGTTGTGGGGTTTGGGGTTATGGGGTTGGGGAAGGATTCTCGGCGTTTTGAATGTACCCTGGTCAGAACATGACTGTTAAAACACCGGAGGTGACAGCTTCTGTCCGTGGTACTGTTTTGTTGGAGTTGGAGGGTCTGATAATGGTATCTCCCGCCCTTGGTTTGTAGGTTGTTGGACAAATGTGTTTTTGGTGTTTTGGTGTGTCCTTCCCCCGACCACTGATTCTCTTGGTCCTTGTGTGTCCTTCACTGGACCACTGATGTCCTTGTGTGTCCTTCACTGGACCACTGATGTCCTTAAGTGTCCTTCAGTGGACCACTTATGTCCGTGTATGACCTTCACTGGACCACTGATGTCCGTGTATGACCTTCACTGGACCACTGATGTCCTTGTGTGTCCTTAACTGGACCACTGTTGTCTTTGTGTGTCTTTCACCGGACCACTGATGTCCTTGTGTGTCCTTCACTGGACCAATTATGTCCTTGTGTATCCTTCACTGGACCACTGATGTCCTTGTGTCCTTCACTGGACCACTGATGTCCTTGTGTATCCTTCACCGGACCACTGATGTCCTTGTGTGTCCTTCAGTGGACCACTGATGTCCTTGTGTCCGTCACTGGACCATTTATGTCCTTGTGTGCCCTTCAGTGGACCACTGTTGTCCTTGTGTGTCCTTCACCGGACCACTGATGTCCTTGTGTCCGTCACTGGACCATTTATGTCCTTGTGTGCCCTTCAGTGGACCACTGTTGTCCTTGTGTGTCCTTTAGTGGACCACTGTTGTCCTTGTGTCCGTCACTGGACCATTTATGTCCGTGTGTGCCCTTCAGTGGACCACTGATGTCCTTGTGTGTCCTTCAGGACCACTGATGTCCTTGTGTGTCCTTCACTGGACCAATTATGTCCTTGTGTATCCTTCACTGGACCACTGATGTCCTTGTGTATTCTCCACTGACCACTGATGTCCTTGTGCGTCCCTCACCGGACCAATATTGTCCTCGGTGTGTCTCTCACTGGACCAATATTGTCCTGACCGCCTCCGTGGTGTAGTGATTAAAGCGTCCGCCCGGAGAGCGGAAGGTCGCGGGTTCGATCCCCGACCGCGTCATACCAAAAGACGTTAAAATATGGTACTTGTTGGTCCCTGTCTGGCGCTCGGCATTAATGGGTACAACAAGGACTGGTCGGCTCGAGTCAGTATAATGTGTCTGAGTGGGGTATTCATGCTTCACTGCGGCATGGTATCTCAGTGAGCTAGCACTATAAAACCAGCTTAAGTCTGGGCTAGTACAAGCAGCCGCACATACACATACACACGCATGCACGTCGTCATATGAGCGAAATATTCTCAAGCACGCAGTTAAACCCAATTTCACCTCACCTCACCTCATGAAACACCGGACCACTGATGTCCTTGGTGTGTATGTAACTGGGCAGTCGATGTGTCTGTTGCCTGGTAACCCCTGGCTTTATGTCTCTGTTGCGTGACAACTAGTGTACCTTTGGCAGGGAATGTGCAGTACGGCTTGCACCTCTCTTTTGAGGGGAATATTGGAACATATATATTCCCGGAACTAGCTGTACTGTAAGAACAACTGGTACCGCTCTGGCGTGCGTGGAATAACAAGGACATGGATATGCCTACCAGTGAGTAACAGGTGCAGCAGATCCTCGTTTCTTAGTTCTTTGTACGTCATCTGGCAGGTTCTTAATTGGGCTTCACAGGCGTGACTCCAGTGGGGAATTGGGTATCTCACATTGGCCTTAGGACAAAAGTCAAAATGTATTATGTTCCTCTTTGACAGTGACGGTGCTATTTACTGTTCATGGAGCATTGTTCTTGAAATATGGTTATGGTGATGGTGAACTGCAGGTGTTTCAAGATTTCCTGTGATATACATTGCGAAATGATCGGGCCCAAGCAGCACTAATGGTCACGGTGACCTATGTGAACGTTTGCCTAGGATGACGGATGTTCTGACCTCTCCTGATGATAAACGTTGTCATAGGCTGCTTGGCTGATGTTCTGGTGAAGCATATCAGTGGCGAAATGGTCTTTGTTCATGTATCAAGACTGATGTTCTGTTTCTTCTGATCAATGGCTACTTAGATGTTCTACATGCAGAGGATGGATGTTCTGTTAGTCATTATAATCAATTGTCACCCACCTATATGTTCTTCATGTAGAGGTACGGATGTGTCTGGTAGTCCTTATGGTCAATGGCCACCTAGATGTTCTACATGAAGAAGGTCATATGGTCTGTCAGTAATTATGATCAATGGCCACCTCCATGTTCTACATGTTGGGTGATGGATGTTCTATTAATCCTTATGATCAATGGCGATGTTCTTCATGTAGAGGGACGGATGTTATGACTCCGCTTATTATAACCTTGACCTTCTGCTGGTAGGGGTACGTGTGGCCAAGACACGATTCCTGAACCAATTTCTATTTAGGCAACGGCTGTCGTATATGTTGTTTTTGAGAAGAAAGGGTGTTCTCGATGTGCATGCTCCAATCATGAGGTGGAAGAATTAGTTTTGTAAGTGGAACACGTTGACTATGACGGGGCATTGTCTCGTCAAATCTCCGTCCACCGTCAATAAGCTGCGTTAGAGGAGATTACTCCAAAGACCATACGCCAATTACGCGACCCCGTCGCCGCCGGTGATTGGAGGCGGAAACGTCGCCTTTGTTGATGAACGCAATCACTGCGCATGACTTCACACTCCATCTCACTTGTGGCAGCAACGACGACAACACGTGCAGTAATGAGTGCACGTGTTCTGTTGCAGAATGTTCCACGGTGCTGAGATAGCCACCGTGCGGAGATGAGCTGATGGGACGGCACATGATGAGCTTGTTACACCAAGCCGCTCCCACCCCCGGGGAACAGGTTTCTGGGGGGTTCTCGAGCAAGACTCGTGTCGAGCACGCGACGGCTTTGTCCGCTGTTATAGATACCTCGTGTGATAAACATCAGGGAGATGTTAGGACATCCAATCAACCATGTTAAGTGTAGTTAAATGATTTACCGAGCAGGTGTCGAGTTCACGTCATCGCCATAAACGCTGTCGAGATTGGGTGGCCGCTAGAACAATACGTACCGTCTCCCCTTCCACGATGAGAAGCCTGCAGTACAACTCAACCTCTTTAACATGGACGAATTATGTTCGTATTACGGGCGTAGGGCAAAAACAAGTACCGGATCGAGGCTTTATCGGATGCAACGGCCCTTAAAGGCCGTGAGTCGGCAAAATATGATATGGACTCGTCTCTTTCAATTATGCTGCTTGAACTGATTTTATCACTCAACGATTTGTCAGATCCGCAAACTATTTTTTTTTATTAAAAAGATCGATTTGTTTAATGACCGGTTACTATATCAACAGTTACCACCTCAAAACAATGGCGGTCATTTTCACCCATGTTTTGAATCAATCCTCGAGTTTTGGATTGACCCGCTAACGCATGATCCAGCGAGTCCTAAAACTCGTCTAATTCGATGTTATTTAAATGGGTTACGCACTGAAGTAAACTTTTCGATGAGTAAGTGAGTGAGTATGGTCTTACGCCGCTTTTGGCAATACTCCAGCAATATCACGGCGGGGAACACCAGAAATTGGCTTCACACATTGTATCCATGTGGAGAATCGAACCTGGGTCTTCGGCGTGACGAGCGAACACTCTAACCATGAGGTAAGAGGCACCGCAATCGCTGGGAAGAGTTGGGTCCCGATCGGAGTCGAATCCACCGATTATGATCCTTCGGCGGCTACAGCACCGAGTATGTGTGCATGTGCAGTGGGGCCCTGGAAAACGGTTCGAGTTAACCGTGGTTCGAGACAAACATGGCATATGTTTAGACAGATCCGAGTATTAATGATGATTTTTTTTATACAGGAGGATTGTGACGGGGCCAAGAAGTGAGTTCGAGACAACCGGGAATTCGACACATCCAAGTTCGACACAACGATGTTTCGTGATTTAACGCTGCAAAAACAACTCTTGAAATATATCATTCTCAGTAGGCCCCTAACGACGTTATTCGTCGCCTCGTGTTCGCTTCTGGGAACGTGCTCTGTCAGTAATATGACATGACCGTAAATATTTATCGTATATTCTTAATCCGATGTGACATACGTTTAGCCCCACTTTAACAAAGGGGCGTGAGGTAGCCTAATGGTTAAAGCGGGGCGGTGGGGTAGCCTATTGGTTAAAGCGGGGCGGTGGGGTAGCCTATTGGTTAAAGCGTTTGCTCGTCACGCTGAAGACCCGGGTTCGATTCCCGTATGGGCTCAATGTGTGAAGCCCATTCGTTGTGCCCCCGTCATGATATTGCTGGAATATTGCTAAATGCTGCGTAAACCCATACTCACTCACTCACCTGGATAAAGGTTTCGGCGAACACCCGAGTTCGATTCACCTTATTACAAATGTGAAGCCCAGTTCTGATTTCCGCTGAAATATTGCTGAAGGAGGCCTTTAATCACACTCTCTCACAACATTTACCAAACCGATCAATCTTTGGATTATGCGTTTTGGAAAGTACATTAAAACTCGCACATAAAGTTACAACCATGAAACACAAACAATTTCATCCACACCAAAACAAAATACGCTGAATCAACAACTACATTATAGATATTCCAATTGCTGCCAGATTGTTTGCAAACACGAATTTCAGGGGTTAATTCAAATATATGCCATCGGAAAACAAACGAATCTAGAATAATGTCATGATCAACTATCCAGCGTTAAAATCGTGTTGAAGGGACCCAGGGTCGGACCCCCTCCCTATTGACCTTGGTGTACCTCTCCTCTACGGGTCAGGTAAACAGCATCTCAGGGTAGTTCCATTCAAATATGCCGATGAAGGAGGTGTCACTGGTATAAGGACTGCACTCTGTGCCAAAGGTAAACTGTGGATTGTGGCTAGACCCACCACACAGGGCCGAGAGCGTGGCCTTAATTAAGCTCATTAGGGACATGGTGTCCACGTATACAATGAAGAACGGGGACAGGGTGAATGTCATAAGTGATGTCGTACATTGGTATGAGGCGTAGTCGGTACTTGACTAGTCAGCAAGTAGGTATTTGTTTAGACTTCATGTTTCAAGGGACAGACAGAGTTTGCGTGAATAGTTTCGCGACTGCTTTATTGCTTGTGCATCAGTATCGTATAAGAGACATTGTGAAATATATTACACTCCTGTTGAGAGAATGATTCCTCCTAAGTGAACTGCTTGTCGTTGAGGCGGGTGAGTAGGTTGGGTTTAACGCCGGTTGGATCAGTATTTCAGTAATTTCAGGGCTGGTCAGCCTGAGGAATAGAAATCGTACTCTAGAATTTCAAAATCTACAATTGCACATCACAGACTTCAACCTGTCTCCGTGTTTTATGCCACAGATGTAATCTCCAGTATCTGTCAGCTTCTGTTAGTTACAGTTGCAATGTTTTGAAATGTGTGTCACTGACAGTTGCTATGTCTACCACCCTGCGTCAGTAACAGTTGACATATCTACCACCCTGCGTCAGTGACAGTTGAAATATCTACCACTCTGCGTCGGTGACAGTTGAAATATCTACCACTCTGCGTCAGTGACAGTTGAAATATCTACAACTCTGTGTCAGTGACAGTTGAAATATCTACCACCCTGTGTCAGTGACAGTTGAAATATCTACCACTCTGTGTCAGTGACAGTTGAAATATCTACCACCCTGTGTCAGTGACAGGTGCAATATCTACCACCCTGTGTCAGTGACAGTTGAAATATCTACAACTCTGTGTCAGTGACAGTTGAAATATCTACCACTCTGCGTCGGTGACAGTTGAAATATCTACCACCCTGTGTCAGTGACAGTTGAAATATCTACCACCCTGTGTCAGTGACAGTTGAAATATCTACCACCCTGTGTCAGTGACAGGTGCAATATCTACCACCCTGTGTCAGTGACAGTTGCAATATCTACCACCCTGTGTCAGTGACAGGTGCAATATCTACCACCCTAGTGACAGTTGCAATATCTACCACCCTGTGTCAGTGACAGGTGCAATATCTACCACCCTAGTGACAGTTGCAATATCTACCACCCTGTGTCAGTGACAGGTGCAATATCTACCACCCTAGTGACAGATGCAATATCTACCACCCTGTGTCAGTGACAGGTGCAATATCTACCACCCTAGTGACAGTTGCAATATCTACCACCCTGTGTCAGTGACAGGTGCAATATCTACCACCCTAGTGACAGTTGCAATATCTACCACCCTGTGTCAGTGACAGGTGCAATATCTACCACCCTAGTGACAGATGCAATATCTACCACCCTGTGTCAGTGACAGGTGCAATATCTACCACCCTAGTGACAGTTGCAATATATACCACCCTGTGTCAGTGACAGGTGCAATATCTACCACCCTAGTGACAGTTGCAATATCTACCACCCTGTGTCAGTGACAGGTGCAATATCTACCACCCTAGTGACAGATGCAATATCTACCACCCTGTGTCAGTGACAGGTGCAATATACTACCACCCTAGTGACAGGTTGCAATATCTACCACCTGTGTCAGTGACAGGTGCAATATCTACCACCCTGTGTCAGTGACAGTTGCAATATCTACCACACCTGTGTCACCACCCTGCAATATCTACCACCTGTGTCAGTGACAGGTGCAATATCTACCACCCTAGTGACAGTTGCAATATATACCACCCTGTGTCAGTGACAGGTGCAATATCTACCACCCTAGTGACAGGTGCAATATCTACCACCCTAGTGACAGTTGCAATATCTACCACTCTGTGTCAGTGACAGGTGCAATATCTACCACCCTAGTGACAGTTGCAATATCTACCACCCTGTGTCAGTGACAGTTGCAATATCTACCACCCTGTGTCAGTGACAGTTGCAATATATACCACCCTGTGTCAGTGACAGTTGCAATATCTACCACCCTGTGTCAGTGACAGGTGCAATATCTACCACCCTCAGTGACAGTTGGTTGCAATATATACCACCCTGTGTCAGTGACAGGTGCAATATCTACCACCCTAGTGACAGTTGCAATATCTACCACCCTGTGTCAGTGACAGATGCAATATCTACCACCCTGTGTCAGTGACAGGTGCAATATCTACCACCCTAGTGACAGTTGCAATATATACCACCCTGTGTCAGTGACAGGTGCAATATCTACCACCCTGTGTCAGTGACAGTTGCAATATCTACCACCCTGTGTCAGTGACAGATGCAATATCTACCACCCTGTGTCAGTGACAGGTGCAATATCTACCACCCTAGTGACAGTGACAGGTGCAATATCTACCACTCTGTGTCAGTGACAGTTGCAATAACTACCATCCTGCGTCAATGACAGTTGAAATATACACCACCCTGTGTCAGTGACAGTTGCAATAACTACCACCCTGTGTCAATGACAGTTGAAATATACACCACCCTGTGTCATTGACAATATATACCAACCCGTGTGAGTGTCAGTTGCAATATCTACCACCCTGTCTCAGTGACAGTTGCAATATCTACCACGTGTCTCACACAGACATCAGTATCTACGATCTTGTTTCTGTGTTTTCAGTTCAACCAAGTCTACACGTGGTCCAAGTGAGGAGCCGCTGTCCTTGGTTTGGAGTCGAAGATTCAAACTTCTGATCCATCTGCGGCTATCAACACTCTCGTGTAAGCAGGTTTCTACCTGCAAAACGCGTTAATTGACGTACTATCGCCATGTGGGGTGAGGGAATGACCGCATGAGGTCGCAGGATTTCGTCGATGTAGCGATTTGCTGTAAGATTGCCTTCAACCACCACGAGCTCCGATTTACCCGTGTAGGACATGGCTCCTCACACCATGACGTTTTCTACACCAAATCTGTCCACCTGACAAACGCAGTTCGGCGCAAAACGTTCGTGTCGACGTCGATAGACACGTTGTCTCCCACCCCGTCGTTGCAGGAGGAAATGCGATTCATCGCTGAACCAAACGCGTCGCCAGTTCCCCAGGTTCCATGAATCGGTCCTGAGCATGAGTGGTCACTATTGATCTTCCTCTTTTGGGACGATCATGGGTCGAATTGGAGCGGGTATATCGTTGTCATAATCGAGATACGGTGCTGTGGTGGACGTTGAAGTGTCCTGCAACGGCAGACTGGGGACTCCCCTGCTTCCAAATGTCCAATGGTGATATGTCGGTCAGTTGCATTCAGTCTCGGCATTTTGTTTATCTTCGTTTACATCCTAAATTTCGTAATGAAATAATGAATTTGGTTTTGGCCTTTCATAGTCGATGTCTCGACTCATGTTTCCGACGCATTGCACGTACATTACGTGGAAAACCTTTTCTGCATGAACTTTTTATGTATCGTTTTCATTTTTTATGACAAATGTTTACTGACACATTTTGGGATGCGTTTGCGCGCAATAAACAACAACCACGACATGATTAACGGGATTCAAACATAGGAATTGTCTTAATGACGATTGCTGTCAAAATAAATCGAACTGATGAAAACGGATGTGCGTTTGTAATTTTGAAGAGTGTACATGACGCGTCCCTAACAATTTGACTGCTTTTGTCAGGGAGCGTCATCCGTCGAGCCGACACAATCACGGCTCAGCGATGGAAGGGGGGTAACTCCGATATGGATTAGCCACGCCACTTGCAGTGCAATATCCCTGGGGCTGTTGAATATATAACGACAAATGATTCACAGCTCGCCTGCTGACGTACGTCTGGAGCATGCGTCGAGTGGTCGCTGTTGGACGTATGTATGTCACGTACAGCTGTAAAGTCCTGTTGTCAGACTTAATGATTGGTAACTGTTTATTTTTAAGATTGATTTGTTTGTTGTTTAACGCCGCGTGAAATATGACATAATTTATCCAGTGAGTGAGTGAGTTTTACGCCGCACTCAGCAATATTCCAGCTGTATAGGGGCGGTCTGTAAATAATCGAGTCTGGACCAGACAATCCAGTGATCAACATCAAGACATCGATGTGCGCAATTGGGATATGATGAAAT